CTAGTCTTTTCCCATTTGGATTGAAATTCCCTTGATAGGAACACAATAAAGGGTTCTCAACTGGCTCTATCATAAACGTGAAGAAAATTTCCCCGTGAAGCCGAACACAAGAACACGCTGCATCTAAACATCGAGAATATAGTAAATGTTTGATTTATTTCACCACAAAATCCCAATGTCAAATTATACCAGCCACTACCACGAAGCATATGAACCCAAAGTACCCTATTTATCTGCCGAGCCAACTAGCTGCCTAACTCTGCGTGCACAATCTGCAAAATCCTTGACGAAACTAGCACATTTTAGGGGGTCCTTCACATGTTCCTTGTAGCACTTCAAACAAGCATCTTTCTCTTCCAAACAGGGAAGGTGCTTCTGTTGTGGCAGTTTGAACTCCTTGTCGTGAAGTTCCTTGGCTCTTTCAGTAACTTCCTGCAACAGGTTTTCCTGCTGTTTGTTCAACCTTTCCAAAACTTTCTCGCTCTCCTGAAGGACAGACCGGATGTCATCTAACTTAGAGTTGGCAGATTGTGGAGGCGGGACCGGCAAGTATAAAGGAGGTTGAAGTGGCCATCCAGAAGCAGCTTGACCCTTTCGTGCATTGGAATCATCAGAAATCTGCTTTGTATGTACTTTTTCTGATTGCTTCTTTGGTTTCAGCTTCTTTGGTTTCGGCTTCACCTTTTCAGGATCGTCGGCTAGCTGTCTAACTAAATTGCTGCTGATTTGGATTGTAAATGATTCACCCATGATACAGGCAGCTTCTGGCTAGTTACCTGAGATATTGATCAAGATAGTTCCAAGGAAAAAGAAGCAATAAGATGTCAAATGCATCTTTTATGTTCAATAGCGACAACCTCAGCAAAAGATATATATTTGAAAAGCAGGAAGGAAAGGGGAGGGGAGGCGTGGGAGGGCTTGTATGAATAGAACTCATGAACACCCTCCTCAGGCCTAACAATCTTTGCATGACTTAGTGACAACTTATACTACCAAACACTATAATACCAGAATAGGATAATAAGCAATAGAACAAGGTCTACAACCCTAATAATATACCCAAAAAAGGAACCATCCATATTCACTACTCTGCAGTCTCTTCTTGACAAATGTCCAAAATGTTAGGTGTAGGTGTTACATCTGATTTTTTACTCATGTCAACTTTTGGCAAAAAACATATTTAGCTTTGGACAAAACAAAGCTTTCACAGGTCTAGAAGATGTATACTTCATATGTGTTGATCAGTATATTCTTTCGGGCAAGGGGTAGAACAAAAAAGGAAGAACATTTTAGGGTTCACCGCGGTGCTGGTAGGAAGCAAGGGTTCATGAGTTGGCTGCAGCAGCATTGGTTTTATTTGGAGGAAGACAATGAAGTTTTTGGCTGGGGGTGGCTGGGAGTGACCTGGGCAGGGGAGCTATTGGGGGTGGCTTGGGCAGAGGATTAAGTGTTTATTTTTTTATTTTTTGTTGTTTTGTATTAAACATTTTTTGCTTATGTAAGGGTAAATCCATCAAATCATAACAACTTCACAATCATTTCTGATGAAAACCATCAAAGAGAACTATGGACAGCAAAAAGTGAAAAGTTGGGGACAACACGGCCCAGATATAAAGATTCAGGACAAAAGTGCATAAAGGAGTTACGATTGAGTATGGTGGCTTCTATTTTTCCTAAAATGATTAAACCTTATTAAAAGCCTAATTTGCAACTAGAAACATAAAATGGATCGATAGTAACAAGTGGTAACCACAAAACAAGACCACTTTTCCACAACTAGAAGTACCAATCAAAGACAAATGAAATTTAAATTTGTGAAACCACCGACCAACTATTTGCAATACTTTTGCTTCCTTTCACTTTAAAGGAAAGAAAAGTCTGACTGAACAAATAAACTGGAAAATAGATCTAGGAGCAACAAAAATATCAAAGAACGAGAAGAGTGAAGTTACTAGTCAATATCCTACTCTGTCACCAAAAAGTAAAAATACAACTTGAAAGCTAGAGATCACATTTTAGTTGACAGAATAGAGGGATTGGACATGCTTGGGTTGTATATAAAACAGCCCATAAACTCTTTAAGATGTTATAGCCTATGACAAAACAGGCTCAAAAGTTAAAGCTCATAAAAAATGTCCTGAAAATGGCAAGACTAAGAAGCACACACTTCGCTGCTGTGAGGCTTATGCTATGTGTGTGTGGTTGTATGCCTTGAAACCAAAAGAAGCCTTCCTCATCGGCTCATCCCCCTCTTAACTCCACAAACACAACACGTTTTATTCTCCACTTAATTTTCTTTCTCCATCCACCCAGTGATGGGTTGACAAAGTCAAAGGAGTAAGTGTCATCAGTAAATCTCTTCTACGTTCAGTATTTTATTCAAGAAAATTACGTATCAGAAATTAGATTACCTATCCCTGATGCCTGAACCTAAGAAAATGAGGCAATTGAGCTCAGTCCTGCCTGTTCCACTCCTATCAATTTTTACTTACTGTTGAACACAAGAAAATTTTCCCACATGATGTTCTAATGCCTTTTGAGTTAATCTGGTGGAGCCAAACCTGATAAATGCCCAAAGCATATGTGATAACAGCGAGAGGTACTAAGATTTCGCGTGTTTAATGATAATCCTTCTCCCTTTTTCTTGGGAAAAGATATCTAGAAGGGAAATGATTCCTTTAAAATCAAAATTTCCTCTGGACAAGTAGTTCTATGGAATCCATAAAGATTTCTGCTAGAAATGAAAGACCTTGTAAGGTTCTTATTTCAGACATCTAAAATGGGAGGAAGTTTACCTACTCTACATACTTAAAGACTTTGAAGTAATTCAGTCTAATATTTCCTACCGCCAAAGCTGTTGATTGTTCCCTGTATGATTCGAGACTTTTGAGCTTTTAAAGCAAGCACTTAAACATCAAAGAATGAAGTATATGAACTCTTTGGTTTTCGTTCCACTTTAATTCGTTATATTATATAGGTCTTTCAACTCATCACAGAAATGAAGGAAATTCAGAGAGTTTCTGGTCTCCCTATACGGGATCACAGGCGGAGCCACCTGGGGTCTAGTGGGGGCAGTTCCCCCCAGTGAATTTTGGTCCTGGGTAGTTCACCGGTAACACTTGAGGGGTGGCCGGTCCTAAAGGCAAGGGAAAACCATAACTAACCACATCAAATCCAATAGAGATATTGCCGATGACGAGAATTCCGATTAGACTGGACCGAATCTTAGATCAAGGTTGTGTTGAAACTAAATCATTCAGGACAATCAAATGAAGTGCGAAATCAACATATAAAGCCTGAATTTACACAAAATAAATTTGATATTACCTTCAAAGTTTAGCGATGAAGAAGTTGATTTACCCTTCTGTAGATATCAGTGAAATCGCTGCAACACGAGATAGATTAATTAGTGCCAAGGAAACCCTGAGCCGCTTGTCTCCTCCATTTACTCCTGGGTTATGAATGACACCGAGATAGGCATTTAATTGGGCTTTTAAGTTGTCTGTAAGCAAACACATTGAATGGGCTTATATCTTCTTGATTAGGCCCAAACGTATGTTCTACTTTTGCTTTTTCGCAAATGAGGTCAATTAAAAAAGGGAAAATTAAGCTGTATACCCTATTAAAATAAGTATTTTGA